TATATGTGTACATATACATATATATATATATATATGTATACATATACATACATATATATACATATATATGTACATGTACATACATATATATATATACATATATATGTACATGTACATATATATACATATATATGTACATATATATATATATATATATATATATATATATATATATATATATATATATATATGTGTGTGTGTGTGTGTGTGTGTGTGTGTTGCTGTACAGCACTTTGGTTGGCCTTGTTGCTGTTTGAATTTCGAAGTGCTCTTTAAATAAAGTGGTATAGTATATAAAAAATAAATCACATAATTTTATATTTACATTTTTTATAGTAATATTAGGGGGTTTAAAAAGCAGAATTAAGACTGTTTACAGTGTTTTTTCTTCAAAGTGGAATAAACTACATTTGATTTGGCTTTTGCCCCTAATATTTATCTTAGAGACCGATAAAACTCCACGAACCATAGCTTGAACACCCAGACTGTACTGTATTCAGCTCTACCTGTGAGGTGCTCCGTGCTGCGTTCATGCACACATCCCCCCCTCCTAGTGTCCGTCGGAAGGAGGAGTTTAACCCTCCATCGTCTGGGAGGAGTCCGCAGTCTCTTGGCGCTCCGTCCCAGGCTTGTTTGCTCTGGAAGCGGAGATTTCGTGAAAGTAAATCGAAAGAAAAGCCAACTTTAAAATTAATTAAATAAAAATAAGCAAGTCCTCTGTGCTGCGTTTAAATGGTCCGAGGTGGAAAACACATGAATGCGTCGGAAAGTGGAGGAAACATAAACCGGTAAGTTGGAGGGGAACTTTCTATTTCTCACCAAATAAAACGTGTCTGTTCAATTGGGAGCTTTTATTCGCTCAATTTATTTACGTATTTTTTTTTTTTTCGGTTAAGTAAATTATGTGCGTGTTTAGTTTAAATGCGAGTGGGAATCAGTTCTCCGACTTTATTGGCTGCGTTTAAGAGGAATCTCGCCATATGGCCGCAGAAATCCTGCAGAAACACGAGATTGTCTGCTGATTTCAATTGTGTCACGTTGAAATGTTTTTGTAGAGAGCACCTTGAGTAAATATCACTTTTAAAAAACAACGTGGGTTCTGGTTTCCCTTTCCTCATTAAATATTCAGTGCAGTGTGAAATACTCCCATCCAATTAAATGTGTTATAAATCTACCTGATTTATGGATTCAGATATTAGAAGCACTGGTCACACCACTAAATGTTTGCTTTTATTCTGATGTGATTTATTCCCCATTTGTATTGTTTTTGGACCATGTGCTGGAGTGGAAGTGCTCCCCAGCCTCACAGAAAGGCAACAAAAGGGCCCTGGGACCCCTGGAGTGGAGGGCCAGCAGAGAGCAAACAGAGCCATGCATCAGGAGGGAGGAACCCAGTTGTCTTTTTGTCGTGGAAACCATTCACGAGGAAGTGTTTGACTCTCCTGTTACCTTTAAATGCCACCGAGGAGGGTTGTAATAATAAAAACATGAGCTAATGATTGACTTTAGCTGGCTGGCTGGGTTTGTTCGTTCATCCTTTCGGTTCCAGCAGCCGTCTGTCTGATGTTCTTGCAGCCATATGGTTAGGAAAGTGTCACTTCACGTGATTAATGATTATTGAATGATGGATTTTATGTAAATAGTTTGCTTTCATGCAGGATCCAGGAATTAGGCACAGCCCATAATGAATGCATGTCATGAAAGATGTCCAAATGCCTTGTTTATATTTCCACAGGGGACTTTTCAGCCCCCCCCACCTGTAAAATGAACTGGTCAGAAATCATTATGTACTTAAATAATTGCTTTTATTTTCATGTGTGGACCCTGTCTGTTTGTTTTAGTTGCAGATCAGTGTTCGGGTCAAAAGGCGCCGAGTGTGTATTTTCGTTTTTGAGGTTTTCATTTTTGTGGCAGGCAAAAAAAAAATCCATAACCACAAGAAACATTATGTTTTTACTATCCTCTTTTCCCCTCGAGTTGGAAGGGACTCAAACCAAAAAGATACTGATTGTGACTTGTAATTTCCTTCTAGTGGAAAACGTGATTGTTTTGGTGTTCAGTTTTTTTTTCCATTTGTGACACAAATTGGGAGTTATGTTATGTAGCTGGCAAGTCTGTCACTTGTAATAGTTTTCTGGTGACAAAGGGGAGATGCAGTGCTCACCTACTTTGTTTGAATGTTTTAATACTACAACTCGTTGTTTGCCTTAAACCTCAGGGTTCGGAGAAGCTGCGAGATAATTATCTGAAAGTTTCCTAGAAGTCACTTCTGTGTTTCATTGTGGAGCTATACCGGGAACAGCAGTCCAAGTGTTCACTGCGTTAGTCTTTGTTGCTTTGATGCTTCATGTGAGCGGCGATCAGGCATAAAAAACTCTGATCTGTTCTCCCAACAGCAGGCTGTATGTGAGTGCTTTGTTAACGCTAAAGTGAGAGCACGCTGGCTGAGAAACGCCAATGGTTCACGTCTTCGCCCCAGCACATTTTTAGCCATATAAGGTGAAGTGCATGTGACCTATTAGGCATGGGTAACATCTGTTCTTTTTGTCACAAGGGGATGGAGGTCTTTTTCTGTCTCTAGGTAGAGGCCTTGCAGGGGGAATAGCAAGCATTAAATGAGTGAAATAACAAAACTTCTTTTGTTCAATTCCCAACAGTCTTGGCTCTACGATTGATATAAAATGCCATTTCAAGGCTCCTGTTTCCAGTTAGGTTAGTCAGCATAAATAATGGTGACCCATATGTTTCTGTTTTTGCCACCTGTATTTGACTTTCAAAGTGTTTACTGGTAGTAGTGGGGCTGCAGTGTCTGAAGTGGATGCTAGTAAAGTAGGTGAACGGAAAGCTGGTGTTGACAGCATCTTGGACTGGACGTCTTAGCCAAGATGCCATCTAAAGGACACGCCCAGCTACAGTTCAGAAACAAAACCAACTCACCATTAATACTACTGACCCAGTCCTACGGTGGCACTTTGGACAACAATTTAGTGGAATATACCATCTGTTCTGCAGAATTTGGTGATGACAAAAACACATATTAATCCACTTTCAGGGATTTATTCAGCCAGTTGCACTCTGTTGCACATTCAAGAACCTTCTGTCCAGCTCAACAGAGCAGCATGGTCTCATCCAGCTTAACCTGAGAATCCATTCACGCCCCACCCAGACCTGCCACTTCCAGGCCTCCGAAACGATTAATGCATAGGTCTAATTTGAACTGAGCTCATTCGGGGTCACCTGCTAAACAATGGCCTGCAGGGTTTGAGAAGCAAATGAAGATTAAATGGAGACACTTTAACAGTACGTCAAAGAGGTATTAGATTAAGAGTTACCGAGCTGGTGGTGCATGAGAAGATTGAGGTAGCACTTAAACAGCACCAGACAACTTCATTTGTGAGTCAGACTTTCATTAACGCCAAAGAAATAACTTCAAGACGCACAGTGACCACTTCTATTGATGGCAGTATAAATCATACAAGAAACCGGTGTTCAGATGACAAAAAGCTCCCATGATGGCAGTTGAGTAGCGGTGCATGTAATTCCTATAAGCTTGCTAGTTGGTGTACAACGTTGCATTTCAAACCCAGCTGAGTGGTTGTGGAAATGCAAAGTGTTTGATATGTATATCTGCAATCAATGCATATTGATGACATATGGGATATAGAATTTTCACAACACAGCTGCTTGCAACGTGTAGGATATTTTACAGTTGGAGTGTTTTCTTTTTTAACTTTGGTGGTGTGATTGTGAATAAACCCTGCTGTGTTGGGAGTTTAAAAAGGCACCACATTTGTATCTTGGGTCACAAGTGTTTGCATACTTACCAGTCCTTTTAGTATGGAAATAACCAGGTCCTCGCTCACTGCTCCTTCCCCCCATATGGGTTTTACAAGTCGATCCTTCCAACAACAATAGAAAATGTGATTGATCTACCCTCTGTTTACTAGCCATAAGGTCCCACTTACTTTTTATGCCCTATTGGAAAGGCAAACAGCTGGCGATACAGCCCAAAGTGCATCAAGTTGGGATGTTCATTTGGCTCCGCATGTCTTGTATTGTCATGCATGATGGATGGGGTAAATTTTAGGTACATATTTACTCAAACACATCCCACCTGCTCATCAGTGGGCGGAGATGTAGTCTATGAAGCGCATCAGATTAAGTTTTGGATTTTGTGTTCTGTTCCGATTGTCATTCTGAAATTAATTTTTAAATTTAAATTAGAGTTGTACATAGATTTATTGGTATCCATATGTCATGTGTTTCTTTAAATATCTCTGCACTATAGAAATGCAAAGAGCAGATGGAAACAATCTTTTGAGATTTACATAAATCCATCTATTTATCATAGTTTTACCTTTAGCAGCCATATTTTAACAACAACGTTAAAATGTTGCAGTCTTACAAAATATTGGTTTCGTTCCTCTTTGGTTGATCATCCTATATCTGGACATTACCTATTCTTTTCACCAACCCTGATTTAAACAGCTGGTGGTATGATCTTTAGAAAAGATAAGCTCTTTACTCCACTTCTCAGTCTTCAGACTTTGTCATGTTGGTTCAGTCAATTGGAGTTTGCCCAGCGTAAACACAGACCAGTTCTTGGTTGCTTTAGGTCACCAGAAATCCTGGCATCTACTAAGCAAGCATGCTCATTTAAAGCTTCCTTGAAAAGCATTTTCTCTAAAGAGTATCTAGATGACCTGTTTCCTGAGGTGATATTATCGTCAAGGCGTATTTAGCTGACAGGCTTCAGCTGTTGAAAGGAAAAGGGTACATTATATGAATGAAGGGACTCATTGTAATGTTTGTCAAGATAAGAGCAGAGAAACAAACAAAAAAAAGTTTCTAGCATTTTATCAACTTTAGCAATTTAGGTCTGGAAAAGTGCACGTAATTGATGTAAGATGTGCATAACTTCATCAGTGTAGGGGAAACGGTAGCTTATCAGTCAGGCAGGAGCTTGTGTGGGCTTTCATATTTTATGGCGCCCTCTGTATTAAAAAAAAATAAAATAAAAAATCTCCACCTCAGCCTTATAGCTGATACGGATTTCCAACCTTCTTCACATTTTCAGAGCTCCACCTTTCTGTTTTTAGGGTAGAATCAAGACTCAGTTACTGTTTTCTGCTTCATTGGTGCCATTTAACCCATGGCTTGGTTTCTATGGCTACGCTCTGGGTGTTCTTAATTTTTTTACGGTTTATGGGTGAAACTACAAAAAGGCAAGAACAAAGGATGATGTTGAATCATCTACCCAGAACGGTTAGGGGTAGGGGTTAGGAAATAGGGTGACTCCTCAGCTTGCTGCTCCTTGAAATAGTTGTGCAATATTAACACATCTCTGTCCCCAAAACGGTGTTACAGCAGACATAAATGCTGCCTCTCAGCAGTCTAGCTGCTGGGGTCACTGTCATGTCGGTGGATTATTAAATCTTGCCACGCAGAAAAAAACTCAGTGCAATGTTGCTGTAACTCTTAAGCTGATGGTAAAAGATGTAGGGCAACCAGCCCACCAGGCTGCTGTAAACAGTGAGCTGGCTCTACAAGGGAGGGCTATTATTGGTATTAGACATTCCAGTGTCACTGGAGTAGCTGTCCCTTATTTATTTGCTTGCTCACTTCTGATGTTATTAAAGTAGCCTGAGCCATGAAAGTGAAACAGCTTGGTTTATAGTCTCTCAGTATTTAATGAATTTGATCAATTTTATATTTTTCCTTAGACTGGATATGAGTGATGAATCAAAGTTTCTTGGTAAGTTTTTGTCTGTTTTTTTTTACTTTGTGT